ATTTTGTATGTGAGACAGATGGACGGCGTCCCATCCTGACAAACGTGTGCGGCCATCCTATGAGTGCTTTCATGACTCGGAGAACTTGTCGGAATAACGTGGGTGGACAGCATGGACACATCTGCTTCGTCCGACATCGGCGCATCCCTAAAGGGTTCGATTTTGTGCGGCCGATTGCAGGCGCCTGCAACTTGTGCATGCGCGCGCGCACACACACACACACACACACGCACACGCACGCACACACACACTCTCTCAGAATATACAACTCAAACACATGCCCTCTCATAACTCACAACTCACTCACTCACTAGCAAGCATGCACTCTCACAACACACTCACATGACAGACTCTCTCACTCATTCACTCACACGCCTAACGCACTCACACACAAACCCTTTCACACACTCACACACTTAACACACAAACCGTCTCACAACAAACACACTTTCATCCTCCCTGACGACAGAAACTCACTTACTGACGAACAAAATTTATTCGCACATGCAAAATATACTCACTCATTCTCTCCTGACAACACACACACACACACACACACACACACACACACACACACACATTCTTCATTTGTGTTTCGTCATTCATTGTGCACTCAAGCTGATGTGGTGCTGCTGTGTGGAATTATGGGATGTCGCAGCTCTCCACGTTAGCAGTTTGTGTTTGTGTGTGTGTGTGTGTGTGTGTGGGCATGCATACTTGATAAACACACACTTTTTATAAGCATGCACAATGCAGCCTCACACTCTTATCTCCCACACAGCGAGGTAATGAGGAGCTCTCTCTCTCTCTCTCTCTCTCTCTCTCTCTCTCTCTCTCCCTCACACACACACACACACACACACACACACACACTGGCGGTGCGTTATCTTCCGCTTTGTGTCTCGGCTGACAAACAGCCGGCGAGGCGTCGTTCGTTTCTCCTCTCGTGGTTGCTTTTTAATCATCAGCGAGCCTCCTCCTCTTCCACATCTTCCTCCTCTCCTACTTCCTCTTCCTCCTCATGTCTTCATTCTAGCTTGTACTTTGCGCGCGTGTGTGTGTGTGTGTGTGTGTGTGTGTGTGTGTGTGTGTGTGTGTGTGCGTGTGTGTGTGTGTGTGTGTGTGTTTAAAAATCATGTGCGTTACTCGCTCAAACTGGAGGCGTCGACCATTTGCTTACTTTCTGTCACAAAAATCAGATTGCTCCTCTTAATTGATTTTATATTCCCTTTGCTTATTGTAAAGGCAAATTAAACACTTTCCCCTTACCAAACAAGCTTTTATGCATCGTGTCAAATTGTATCGACTACCATAGAAATAACCAACGTTGAAAAAATACGAAGTAGGCCCAAGTGTTCACGAAAAGCAAGACGGATTTTCGTGTTACGACAGTATTGTGAAGTTGGATTACTATTATGATACATTAACTTTGCGTTTAAAATGTACTTCACATCAAATTTGAATGCAAATTATGCCTGAAGATTTCAAATAAAACAAGCCCTTGTCACAGATTAAATGCAAATTTTTTGAATTTAAAAGTGAAATACAACTGAACTGCACTTGGGCAGTAATTCTTTTACGCACCACTAGGTGGAACCCATCATACTACCACACTTTTGCGAATGAATTCACCAAGTGTATGTTAGCTCATAGCGGCTAGCTTGTAGCAGCCAGCACATGCGACGTGGGAGACGAACATAAATACAGGCGCGTGTGGGCGTCCCGCAAACGCCGCTGTTGCCGAATCCGAAGGCTTCCTGGGGTGACAGTGAGGTTGTGTTTTTTTTTTTTTTGTGTTTTTTTGACGTTTGTTTCTTGACTGTGATGTGCTCAGCGCTGAGAAAGCGGAGACGACAACTTCTATTTATGGCAAACAAACACGCCAGCGCACAAATACAAAAAGGACAAAAACAAACAAGGGTTTGTCACAGTGTGCGTGCGTGCATGTGGCAGAAGTCCTCATACTCGGTACTTAAGCAGAAATCTAGATTCTTAAAAAAATAAATAAATAAATAAATAAAACCTCCGGGGAAAAGTAGACGTGTGTGGAATCTCTGCATTTTCAGGCTTTTGGCATTCGCCTTTTCCACAGGCGGGCAAGGAATCATGATCATTTTTGTATCTGTTTCTTTCCGTCTGGCTTGTTAGAGCCAAACTCCGATTCCTATCCTGCAGCAGGAAACAGGAAGCAGGAAGTGTTTATTAATAACACGCTCTGACATGTCCTGATCTACTGCTAACATGCACGTGTGTGTGTGTGTGTGTGTGTGTGTGTGTGTGTGTGTGTGTGTGTGTGTGTGTGTGTGTGTGTGTGTGTGTGTGCGCCCGTGTCAGTGTTTGAGCATCGAACTGCTGCCAAAGCGGTTTGCGTTTGGTTCCTGCTGTGAAGGTGTCGATGAGGGATGTTGGACGTCCGCTTTTTACTCGATGTCTGTCACTCACTTGATTTTATTTTGACACTTCTAACCAAGTTTTGCTCTCCGCTTGTAACTCGACATTTGCTCCTGAACACCCGTGACTCCAAACTGCAGTGACTAAATATTGTTTTGTGGCACCTGTTACTCGATATTTTTTAACCAAACAATTTGTTACACTACAACTTGACATTTATGACTCAGCTTTTATCGCTGAACGTTTCACAAATATTTGATACTTTCTAACTTGCCATTTGTTAATCAACATTTTTTTACAGAGCATTTGTAAGTGTTGTTGTTGTTGTTCAGCATTCCTCACACGATACTTTTTAGCCTACATGTTTGTTACTCAACTTGTTTGGCATTTTTTTCTGTCCGGTTTTTTTTTTTTGTGTCAGTTTTTTTTCCTAACTGAAGATTGGTTCTTCAATTTTTGTCACTTGACATGCTGCATTTTTAGTAGGGATGGACGAGTACCAATACTAGATATCGGTAACAGGCCAATGGCGGTCTTATTTCAAGGTATCGGGTAGTCATGAAGGATGTCGATACCAGCCTCCGATACTTCAAGCAGAAATTAATTCAGACATTTTCTACTTTGCCTGTTGAAACGGAAACAAAAACCACAACAATTATGTTTACTTTTCCAAATTTCTGTGACCTTATTACCATGTTTGTTCTCCATTTGAAAAAAATCCGCGCTCAATCCGATCCTCAGAGGTGTCTCAATTGGCCACCACCAGTGTTGCCGCCAGTTTGATCCCTTGCACCGCGCCTTCCCACTGAGGCGCCATACTGTGGATGGTCGCCACTTGGACAAAAAACACAAAAAAATTATTTTGGTGCCGTTTGAAGTGGTTCAGGGTCGCGAGTAGGATGACACCAGTTTCCATGGTGACAGAGTATCGGGCCAGCCAGGGATGTGCTGTTTATCTGGCTGTCCCTGTTCAGGTGCGTGTGTGTGTGTGTGTGTGTGTGTGTGTGTGTGTGTGTGTGTGT